CTCGGTGTTACCAAGATCAATATTATAACACAGACAGCACTGGAAGTTATTAACGGAATGAAACTTCAATATTAATTGACGAAATAAGAAACCTTCCCTGACGTACCCGGTCTTAATGATGTCTGTTACAAAGACTAAACTTTCTCATTTAAAATATTAACCGGAAGAAATTTGATTACTAGAGTAACTGAACACAAAATATCTGGGAAATATGTTCAATATATTTCAGCATTTTTTTTAAGTATGTGAAAAACTATAATTATAATATTAACTTGGGAAATTTTGGTGTCATTTATGGAACAAAATTTGTGACCTTAAATTCAATGTGTAAAACTTAATAATTCATCGGAGGGTTTTCAGCTTTATTATCAAATCATAAATATTAAAATGAAAATTAAATGAAATACCAGAATTATTAGAGTATGTGAGATTACTATCTGACTGTTGCTGCGGGAGCGAAGTTAATTAGCAGAGATTGAAAATTATTGGAACCAGCAAGCAGGAAGGAAACTCTGGTGCCAGTGACATTATTGAATTCAAACGAGTAGCGGAGTGGAAACCACTTTATGGTCAGGAACATGTTTCACGAGTGTGTGTGTGTGTCAACATCTGAAGGTCTTCCTGCTCTGCTAACAAAATACCTGAGGCCAGATCTTTAAGTACCACAGAGGTATCCTGGGAACAAATTATTCCTAGCGCTTATATACTAATAGTATATAAGCGCCAGCCTCCTTGCCTTTCCATCTTGTACAACTTGTCAGACACTTCAACATAATGGAATCTTGGTTCAGAGGACATCTACGTGACTTTCTTCACGGTTACTACAACTACTACTACAACTTACCCATCCCTTTGGGTATGACCTACTTCCACTGGGAATCCCGCCTACCAGAGACTATGCCTTCGTCTGTTACCCGTCCCCTTTCCACCTGATGATTAGTATATAAGCACCAGCCTCCTTGCCTTTGCTCCAGAATCTACATGACTACGGTGCTCTTCACATCAACTCCAAGGTTGAGGGACTGATAACTTCATATTTTGTATATAGTTCTACTGTCTTCAAATTATGTCCTAGACTCTAAGTAACAATCTCCATATTTCAAATATTGTTTTTTATTCCACTTTCGTGCATGGAACCACTGATCCTCTAGGTCCATCGTCCATTATAACCGGATAATCAATGCTCGTGGAGCTTTGTGAAGGGTAAAATAAAAAAATATATAAACTGTATGATGCAATAGCCATCTTCTATCAAAGAAGCTCCCATAAGTTTCCAGGTCACTCAAGGCATCACAAAACTTCACAGTTAGACGATCATTGGTAACCTTCACTGATCATGACGTCACCACTTGCGTGGGTGGGTTGTGAGACTGAGGTAATTATGGGCGTACCAGGACGGCGTCACAATTCACATGGGCGGGTTGGACGGGTAACTGAGGCAGTTGTGGGCGTACCTGGGAGCGTCAGCGCCCAGGTCCACTTTCCTGCGGTAACCTGGAACCTAACCTGCCATATAAGTGGGGCCCTACTGTACTGGATTTGGTCTGTTGTATGAGGAGCCTACCAGACACACACACTAGTAATAGACATACTCCTGATGCAGCAGACTTGGTTTGGTTGTATGGACTGGTTAGACCTGGAAACTGAGACAGCTGTGGGTGTCCCTGGGGACGCCACCAGCGGCTAGGTCATATAGTTAACTTAAGTATATCCGCAGGGTTTTCCTACCCTATTCTGTAAGAATGTTGCATTGTGAGAATACCGGCAGCGTCCTGCAATATTATTCCTCAATACTTACATGGGGGGACACCCTCAGTGTGCTGTTATTGTATTACATGTGGTAGCTACATGGCGTGAGGAATAGCTAACTTTATTTCTGTCCTATTTGCACCATACATGATAGATTGTGTTCGTACGTATATACGTTGACATTATATGCAGAAAGAGTAGAGGGGGAGATATATTTTGCTGGGACTGGAGAGTGAGAAGACGAGGTTGTCGTCGAAAACAACTGCATGTCAGTGTGCAGACCCCATTTACTTGTCACTCACCTTGACTCACACTAGTCACAACGCCTTCACCACTGATCTGCCAGTGGTACATCCTGTTGTCCTGTTTCACCTCACCATTGGCACTGTTGTTGTCTTTTATCACCTCACTAGTGGCACTGTTGTTGTCTTGTATCACCTCACCAGTGGCACTGTTGTGGTCTTGTATCGCCTCACCAGTGGCACTGTTGTGGCACTACTACTTCCCTTCCTCACAGAGGCTCAGGAAGGAAACCCTTGAGGCTCAACTGAAGTATTCCAGCTCAGGCAGTCATAATTCTTTACCTCCTGAAGAGTCCTATCCAATGTGATGAAAACTGTTCCCATGATCTAACAAAGAGTTTGATGTTGATATCCAAGCTTGTTGTTCTCAATGTGAAGAAAAATTCCGAGAGTGAAATATGTAGACTGTTAGGTTACTTTAGGATGTAAATACGTCTGATACAAAATCTCATATTACCTGTACGACACAGGTAGCAGACAAGGGTCCCGGCGATGCTGGCGCTGGAGAATTTATAACAGTATTTGAACTTCAACCTTAATCAGAACCGGTTGTTACGAAACTGCCAGCACACCCTTAATGCAGATTATATACACAGAGATGCGTGCGTCTTAGTGCATGTACACCCAGAGTTTACTTTAATACCGTTTTTAGACATTAAAGTACAGTATTCTTGCGTGGAGGTGAACGGATGAGATCCTGCCTTTACACTTAAAAATGTGAAATTTATAAAATGCAGATAAAAATATAAAAACAAAATTTACTCATTAAGGAGCTAGACAAAAGACTCATCAGAGTAACTCGGGCAGCTTGTTTTGTTTCAGTGTCTCAGCACTGCGGTTCAGAGGGGTAATGCCTGCTGTATCATGGGTACGAGCCTCACCTCTGAGGAGCTGGATGAGATTTTCGCATTGTACTCTGTGATAAACACGTAGCAACATGTACTTGAAATGTAGCTCTCAAACCTCATGTGTACTGTATATATATTGATTTGATTTGATTAGATCTGATTATTAAATTATACGACTACATACAGTATAGTGATCACTGTTTTATATTATTAACTAAATGTTACAAAATTGTAAAACTATAATGATTCAAAATAGAAATGTTCCAATTCATTGTTTAAAATAACTCAATTGTACTTGATATTGTAAATTGTCTACTGTAACTGTTACCATTAAATCTATTATAGCTTAGATAGTCTTAAGTTAATTTTAAGCTGCCCATAATGTTCTGCATACAAGTGACTTTCAACATGTACCCAACTGCTATAATACCTTGTATAACTATGTATCATGTCCTAATAAAATATTATTATTATTATTATTATTATTATTATTATTATTGTTATTATTATTATTATTATTATTATTATTATTATTATATTATTATTATTGTTATTATTATTATTGTTATTATTATTATTGTTATTATTATTATTGTTATTATTATTATTATTATTATTATTATTGTTATTATTATTATTGTTATTATTATTATTATTATTATTATTATTATTATTATTATTATTATTATTATTGTTATTATTATTATTGTTATTATTATTATTATTGTTATTATTATTATTGTTATTATTATTATTGTTATTTTTATTATTATTATTATTATTATTATTATTATTATTATATTATTATTATTATTATTATTTGTAACATCAATGTATCCTTTTAGGTCTTGTGTGAATTTGTAAAGTTTTAAGATTTTGTGTTAAAACTTATTTTGTGTACAATTGTATCATGATTTCGTGAGTCACTTTTTTTGACTCTTTTGTTATGAAAAATATTGCATATATGTTCCATCAGATTTTAATTTAAATTACTAGTCACGAAACTAAGTGGAATTAGTTGTTAGGAAGGGCTTAAGGAATTGAACCTGATGACATAATAATATGCAAAATGCTCAGAGGACTTGTCACAAAGATGCTAGGATTCAGGAAGTATTTCTTCAGCCTTGTGGAGACAGACTGCATACAGAGTTTTAAGGATAGGTACAACAGCTACGAGGCTGATACAATGTAAATCCTGCAAGATGGAAGTTAAAGGGCCGGGCCAGGAGCTGAGACTTAACCCTTTCAAGAACAAACAGGTGAGTACACAAATCTACATTCCATCAAATTCACACAAACACGCACCACAATGTATCCCGACTAACCGGTTTGGCGACTATAAAAACACAAGGTTATTAAAGTTACGCCTTGCATCTTACCATAGACTTCAGTCTTGCAGCATGCATGCACCTCACACCATAGCCTCTTGATCACTACACATGGAGTTAAGTAACCAGGAACATAAAATAAACAAAAATAAATCACACTTGTGGACTCACTCACCTTTGTACTGAGTCTCCCCACTGGCAAACAGGTTTTCTTTTACACTACGAAAGTGTCTCTTAGAGCCGTGGTTGTCGATATTATTAAGGTCCCATCAGGTACTGTAGTAACTCTGTGATGTTGACCACAAGTCTTGAATATAGTTAGTACGACGCACAAGTCAAGAACACACTGTGTGCATGTATCCTCCCCACCTCCACCACTGCTGAGGATAACAAATATAGGATAATAGTATACCTTGCATCCAGCTCTACAAGATGTCGCTAGATTATTTAATTCTTACATTCAATATTTGTCGTTCTCCACATTATTATATATATTCCAACGTTAAAAATAATGCTGCATGTTGCTGTCTATTTATCTATATGTTATGAGCAAAATTTGGCTAATATGATAAAATACGTAAGTAGTTAACTCAGGTAGTGTGAACAATGAGGAAGTTAACCAAAATGTCAACGTTTAACAGTTCCTGTCAAGGTCAGACTCATCGTAATGTTGTTAAGAAAACTCTTCCAATATACTTATTACTTATTATTAAACTTTATATGATAGCCATTTATTAAACAGTCAACACTTTTTTAATGTTGCAGTAAAGTACGTAATATATATAAAGAAGCAAGGCTAAGGCTGGGGTACGTAAGAGAGGGATGATTATTTTCCATTACTTATAACCCTAATTTTTTAAAGGGGTAGATCGGGAAGCCAGCGGAAGGCCTAGGTCAGATGACGAAAAGCTCCAGAGGCAGGTCTTAATATAATCTTTATTTACTACAAGTACATGTACAAGGTATACAGCCCTAGCTGACAACAATGACATACTACTACATAGAAAGCCACTTGTTATGCTGAGCATGTCGGGCAAATTAGGTCAGTGTCCCAGGATGCGACCCACACCAGTCGACTAACACCCAGGTACCCATTTTACTGATGGGGAACATAGACAACAGGTGGAAATAGACACGCCCAATGTTTCTCCTCTGGCTGGGAATCGAACCCAGGCCCTTGCCGTGTGAAGCGAGAGCGTTAACCACCAGGCCACCTGGCGTCAGGAAACACTTGTCCTGTTTCCTGACAAACCTTACCTAACCTAACCTACGGGTGTTGGCACCATGGGTGTTTAACATATTCATAAATGGGGTTGCAAACGAAGTGTATGTTAAGGTATGGGATTAAAACATAGAGAATTTAATAAAGAGTGGGAGCTGTCACAATTTATTTTTTTCCGATGGCACAATACTTTTGGGAGAGTCTGAAGAGAATTTGCGAAGAATAATAAATGAATTTGGGGAGGGTATGTAATGAAAAGAAATTAAAAGTAAACATAGGAAAGAGCAATAAAATAGGTAATGAAAGAGTACAAATCAGATTGGAAGTAGGAAGTATGAAGGAGGCGAATGAGTTCAGATATTTGGGAGTAAACTTGTCAACAGATGGACCACAGATGAGGTAAACCATATAATTAACGAAGAGAAAAAGTTGGGTGTCGCACCGAGGCATCTGTAGAGACAAACAACGTTTCTCGTGAAGGCAAAAAGGGAAATGTACAAGAGTATAGTGGTATCAACATTCTTATATGGGTGTAAAGCATGGGTTGTAGACGTTGCAGCCAGGAGGCTGGAGGCAGTGATGTCATGTCTGAGGGCAATATTTGCTATGAATATTTTGCCGAGAATCGTAGTTTGAATATTAGGTTACTAAAAGTATTATTATATATATATATATATATATATATATATATATATATATATATATATATATATATATATATATATATATATATATATATATAATATATATATATATATATATATATATATATATATATATATATATATATATATATATATATATATATTATATATATATATATATATATATATATATATATATATATATATATATATATATATATATATATATATATAAATATAGGATGGGGTACGGTAATGGATTTGCGTATTTTGCATTTTGTATTTTACTTCAACCTGAAATATATTTTGGTTGAATATGTAAAACAAATTGATGTTGGTTGGTTGACTGATGGGGTTTTTAAAGCGTATCTATTAAACAAGAGTTATTAAGACGTCACGTAACTTTCACCACCAGAGAACACTGTCACCACTACAATAAGTCTTAAGGTACATTCTCAGCATATATTTACCTCTCGGTGTACTGTGACTATTATGTAATTGCTCTTCATAATTTACTTCATAAAATCATTGTAAAATGTTATAGTTTTGTATAAGTGAAAAATATATTATATTGTTTGACTTTATATGGTTATCCTGATGATTTTAAACGATCAAAACATTATCATTGTTCTTATGCACATTATAAACTAATATTATTCATGTGTTATGTACTAAAACCTAAATAAAAACTTATTTAAATGATTAATTTTGAAGTAGTTTTTACTTTCCTTATTATTAAAACTTTCCCAAATTCTAGAGAGTTTTTCCAAGTTTTTTTTGTTTGAAAATTTAACTATAATAACGTGAAGATGTTGGGCACACACAAGAAACAACATTTCAAAGTATCTCTTAGAAATATGCTATTTTCTAACAAGGCTGACACTAATGTTTCAGCAATAGCAAACAACTACTGACGGATAGCGCTAACGTCCCATATAAAAATCTTTGAAAGGGTTCTAGGAAGCAACATCACCACCCATCAAGATACACAACCTAGGGAGGCATGGGTTTAGAGCACATTGTTCCTGCCTGTCCCAGCTACTGGATCACTATGACAAGGTCCTGGATGCTCTAGAAGACAAACAGAATGCATATGTAGTATACACAGACTTTGCAAAAGCCTTTGACAAGTATGACCATGGTGTAATAACGCACAAAATGCGTGATAAAGGAATAACAGGAAAAGTCGGTAGATGGATCTATAATTTCCTAACAAATAGAACACACAGAGTAGCAGTAAACAGTAAAGTCTGAGGCGGCTACAGTGAAAAGTTCTGTTCCACAAGGCACAGTACTCGCCCCCATCTTGTTCCTCATCCTCATATCGGACATAGACAGGGTATATATATAAGCCACAGCACCGTGTCTTCCTTTGCAGATGACACCCGCATTTGCATGACAGTGTCCTCCATTGAAGACACTGCAAGACTCCAGGCGGACATCAACCAAATCTTGGGCCGCAGAAAACAATATAAAGTACAATGATGAGAAATTTAAATTACTCCGATATGGAAAACGAGAGGAAATTAAAACTTCATCGGAGTATAAAACAAATTCCAACCACACAATCGAACGAAAAACTAATGTCAAAGACCTGGGAGTGATCATGTCGGAGGATCTCACCTTCAAGGACCATAACATTGTATCAATCGCATCTGCTAGAAAAATGACAGGATGGATAATGAGAACCTTCAAAACTAGGGAGGCCAAGCCCATGATGACACTCTTCAGGTCACTTGTTCTATCTAGGCTGGAATATTGCTGCACACTAACAGCACCTTTCAAGGCAGGTGAAATTGCTGAACTGGAAAATGTACAGAGAACCTTCACAGCACACATAACTGCGATAGGACACCTAAGTTACCACACTTGAAGTTCCTGAACCTGTACTCCCTGGAATGTAGGATGGAGAGAAACATGATTATATACACCTGGAAAATCCTAGAGGGACTAGTACCAAACTTGCACACGAAAATCAGTCCCTACGAAAGCAAAAGACTCAGCAGACGATGCAACATTCTCCCAATGAAAAGCAGGGGTGTTACTAGCACGTTAAGAGACAACACAATAAGTGTCAGGGGCCCAAGACTGTTCAACTGCCTCCCAGCATACATCAGGGGGATTACCAATAGACCCCTGGCTATCTTCAAGCAGGCACTGGACAAGCACCTAAAGTCAGTACCCAGCCGGGCTGTGGTTCGCACGTTGGATTACGTGCCGCCAGCAGTAACAGCCTAGTTAATCAGGCCTTGATCCACCATGAGGCCTGGTCACAGACCGGGCCGCGGGGGCGTTGATCCCCGGGACTCTCTCCAGGTATACTCCCCGCCTCCCACTCAGTATACCCAGGTATACTCCCCGCCTCCCACTCAGTATACCCAGGTATACTCCCAGAAAGATGGGGAAGGTCTTGTCTCCAATAAAGTGATAAAAATAGTGAAGTTTAGAAAATACTTGTTTAATAAGAACACAACCATTTAATTAACTACAGAAACACAAAACTTATCGCCAGAGAAAGCAACATTTAGTACCGAAGAATCCTGGGATCATCACTTATCTGTATATCCAACAACTTCAACCAGAACAACGGCTTCTGTAATATAACTAAACCTCTTGCCAAGAAACTTTTTCTTCGTTATCCCACATAAGAACATAAGAACGGAGAAACACTGCAGAAGGTCTACTCATATACTTATCCAATCTCTTTTAAAAGGTTCCCAAGTGTTTAGACTCTGTCACCCTGCTCGGAAGATTGTCACCTGCAGCTTTCTCCACCTGACACACTATTCTCATCCTATATTCTCACTTATGTTTCACTCATGTAGATCTGTTTGTGACTTGATAAAGAACACTGCGTGGGCGAAACGTTGTCAATAAAGGATCACATTATACTGCTTATGTATATTTCCATGTGCAGTATACCCAGGTATACCCCCGGGGGGATGGGGAAGGTCCCACCTCCCACCCAGCATGCGCAGTATAACCAGGTATATCAAAATGGTATACAATACCGACTGGTTGGTAGGTAAGACACATAGGCAACATTTAGGTAACTTTATTCCGAAACGTTTCGCCTACACAGTAGGCTTCTTCAGTCGAGTACAGAAAGTAGGCAGGAACAGTAGAGATGTGAAGACCATGTAATCAGTCCATCACCCTTGAAGAAAACACCTTGGACAACTTTTTCAAGTGAGAATTGTTTGATGTGAGAGGGACGTGACCTCTCAGTGGCTACATTCTCACTACTACTACTCTGCACCTCTCCTTCCCACAGTATTTAAGTCTCAACACTGTCGCTTGATCTTCAGTTAGTTCCAGACTTTGGAACCGAACTTCTCCAGGAAGAGGGACTGACAACCTCAAATCTACGACTTCAAGGGTGAACGACTGATTACATCGTCTTCACATCTCTACTGTTCCTGCCTACTTTCTGTACTCGACTGAAAAAGCCTACTGTGTAGGTGAAACGTTTCGGAATAATGTTGCCTATGTGTCTTACCTACCCAGGTATACCCCTGGAGGGATGGGGAAGGTACCACCTACCACCCAGCATATACAATATACCCAGGTATACCCCTGGAGGGATGGGGAAGGTACCACCTACCACCCAGCATATACAGTATACCCAGGTATACCCCTGGAGGGATGGGGAAGGTCCCACCTCCCACCCAGCATATACAATATACCCAGGTATACCCCTGGAGGATGGGGAAGGTACCACCTACCACCCAGCATATACAATATACCCAGGTATACCCCTGGTGGGATGGGGAAGGTCCCACCTCCCACCCAGCATATACAATATACCCAGGTATACCCCTGGAGGGATGGGGAAGGTACCACCTACCACCCAGCATATACAATATACCCAGGTATACCCCTGGAGGGATGGGGAAGGTACCACCTACCACCCAGCATATACAATATACCCAGGTATACCCCTGGAGGGATGGGGAAGGTACCACCTACCACCCAGCATATACAGTATACCCAGGTATACCCCTGGAGGGATGGGGAAGGTACCACCTACCACCCAGCATATACAGTATACCCAGGTATACCCCTGGAGGGAGGGGAAGGTACCACCTACCACCCAGCATATACAGTATACCCAGGTATACCCCTGGAGGGAGGGGAAGGTACCACCTACCACCCAGCATATACAGTATACCCAGGTATACCCCTGGAGGGAGGGGAAGGTACCACCTACCACCCAGCATATACAATATACCCAGGTATACCCCTGGAGGGATGGGGAAGGTACCACCTACCACCCAGCATATACAGTATACCCAGGTATACCCCTGGAGGGATGGGGAAGGTACCACCTACCACCCAGCATATACATATACCCAGGTATACCCCTGGAGGGATGGGGAAGGTCCCACCTCCCACCCAGCATATACAATATACCCAGGTATACCCCTGGAGGGAGGGGAAGGTACCACCTACCACCCAGCATATACAGTATACCCAGGTATACCCCTGGAGGGAGGGGAAGGTACCACCTACCACCCAGCATATACAGTATACCCAGGTATACCCCTGGAGGGAGGGGAAGGTACCACCTACCACCCAGCATATACAATATACCCAGGTATACCCCTGGAGGATGGGAAGGTACCACCTACCACCCAGCATATACAGTATACCCAGGTATACCCCTGGAGGGAGGGGAAGGTACCACCTACCACCCAGCATATACAGTATACCCAGGTATACCCCTGGAGGGAGGGGAAGGTACCACCTACCACCAGCATATACATATACCCAGGTATACCCCTGGAGGGATGGGAAGGTAACCTACACCCAGCGTATACATATACCCATATACCCTTGGAGGGATGAAGACGTCACCTACCACTCTTCCATTTCTTTATCTCGTATACCCCTAGGGATAAAGATATTTTGTTGTATAATTTCTTGTTGTTCAATATTCTTCATTCTTCAAGAAACTGTTTACTTTAATTTAAACCCCTCTTCTTCTTCTTCTTCTTCTTCTTCTTCTTCTTTTTTTATTCTTCTTTATTCTTTATTATTTTATTATATCTTCTTTTATTATTCTTCTTTCTTTTTCTTCTTGGATCTTTTAAACTCTTTTTATAATCTTCTTGTCTTTCTTCTTCTCTTCTTCTTATTATTATTATTATTATTATTATTATTATTATTATTATTATTATAGTAGTAGTAGTAGTATATACTAAATTATAATTTTTAATATTTATATATATATTGGAAGATTATTTAAAGACTCTAATATAAAAATTTTTTGGGTACTAGAAGTCAGGTAAACAATAGTTACTGAAGGACTGATGTTCACTCCGGTCCTTCAGGTTTTCTTTATTTTCAGAAATACAATAACGGATAAAAGTAAATAATCAAATAAAGTTTTCGTTTATTTAACTTTTTTGTCTCAATATTTCGTTTGAAAGTGTTTCTTAACATTATGTTTGAATTTTATTAACACAATGTTTGTCTCTAAACATTAGGTTTTTGTCTTATTAACACTATGTTTGTTAGTGTTTCTTAACATTATGTTTTTGTCTTTTTAACACTATGTTTGTAAGAGTTTCATAACATTCTGTTTGTGTCTAAAAAGATTATTTTTGTATCTCTAAACGCTATGTTTGAGTGTTTTAATGTTATATTTGCGTTTGTCAACATTATGTTTATGTCTCTTAAAGTTCGGTTTATGTCACTCAGCATTGTGCTCAAGTCTCACAGCATTGTGTTTACAAGTGTATTTAAGCAGCATGTTGATGTAGCATCAGTCTGTGACATCGCACCTTCAATATTTACATATACTCTCAGCGTCCCAGTAACACAACTGTACGACACACTTACCGTTAAAAGGCAACTAGGCTTTTTTTTTTTCCTCCCGCTGTGCCAACTCACGTTGACCTTATGACGGCATTTGCACCAGCAAGGTTGTTACGTTAACCTCGTTAGTTTATCACTCTGAAACGTTAACCATTTTAACTACCAGTGATGGTAGTGGATGAGTCTATCCGTTACCGCCAGTTAGTTCATGCGTCTTACTATTATCACTAAAGTGTCGTTGAGTCTAGTACATACGAGCACTAGCGGTGCATAAGTCTATCAGCACTAGGTGGATAAGGTTAACTAGCAGCTCTAGGCAGTGGATAAGTCTAACTACCATCAATAGAGTCTAACCACCAGCAATAGGTGGTGGATATGTCTAACTACTAGCACTAAGCAATTACCGAGCCTAACTACCACTAACTTCCTAGACTAACTATCAGCATTAAGGAACAAGCAATTCACTGCATATATACTGGCTACCAAGTATTAAATTTTAATAGCCTGCCACTTTTAAAATTTATTTAATGTGATTTAAAATTTATTTAATTTTTCATATTATATATTAATAATATTAGATCTGCAACTTAAAATGTATTTAAATTGAATTTCAAATTAGTATCAGTTCTGTCCAGATATTAAAATTATATACTGAAAGTCATTGAATTTTAAATGTAACTGAATGTTCAGTTCTTATGTATTCATGTAAGGTGTGTATTATTATGTATATACTGAAGTGTGAAAGTAACTAATTGTTATTATTGGTTTAATGGCAATATATACACTGAGAGGTGTGATTACTTAGTGTATATACACTGAGAGGTGTGTATTACTTAGTGTATATACACTGAGAGGTGTGTATTACTTAGTGTATATACACTGAGAGGTGTGCATTACTTAGTGTATATACACTGAGAGGTGTGCATTACTTAATGTATATACACTGAGAGGTGTGCATTACTTAGTGTATATACACTGAGAGGTGTGCATTACTTAGTGTATATACACTGAGAGGTGTGCATTACTTAGTGTATATACACTGAGAGGTGTGCATTACTTAGTGTATATACACTGAGAGGTGTGCATTACTTAGTGTATATACACTGAGAGGGATTGTTATATTACTTAGTGTATATACACTGAGAGGTGTGTATTACTTAGTGTATATACACTGAGAGGTGTGTATTACTTAGTGTATATACACTGAGAGGTGTGTATTACTTAGTGTATGTGCAGAGGGGTATGCATTTAACTGAGTATATTTACTGAGAGATGTGTATTTATCAGTGTACATGAACTGAGAGATGTGTATTTATCACTATATATACAATGAGGTGTGAATCTTTCAGTGTATATGCACCGAAGAATGTGCATTTATCAAAGTATATGCACTGAGAGACGTGTATCAATCAGTTTATAAACAATAAGAGATGTGCAGCTCTCAGTGTATGTACACTGAATGACGACAGATACTGTCTGTAAAAGAATCTTTAACTGAAGTAAAGTTTCGGTCTGTCAAACTCTATATCAAGTCACGACCTGATGACGATCATAACTTATCGAAAGACTAATCCGGTGAGAGCTCGTCTTTCAGTGTGTTTCCTTCACTACTGTCGTCAGAACTCCATATAGCTCCAGCATATACACTGAATTTAATCCTTATTTTAGGGTATATATGACTGGGTACCCTAGAGGAGGGTGTTCTTCCTGTATGGCAGACAGTGATAAACTACACCAAGAGAGGAAATTCAGTGTGAGTGTTGAGGGAAGGTTAAACACTCTGGTATTTTTTTATATTTTATTAATAAACTACACAGTTAACAAAAACATACAAGGGACAAGACATGAATGTGAAGAACATACAGGCGAATACATCGTGATTACGTATAGCAAGTACAATAACGGGAAAAAAGAATTACAACATACACTGGAATATTTTTGCAAAGTTAGATACAGCGAGAGGTGTCTATACCGCTGTGTATATACGCCCACAGTTTGTTTTAATACCTATTTTAAGATTTCAATTATCTTTAATGGTGATGTGCAGTTTATTTACAGCCGTTTTATGTCTCTTCTTCCAATAAACCAACCGCCATATTTTGGAAATTCAGCAATATCTATTTACTTCCACTAATATATATGGACTATCTGAGCGTGTTGAAAGTTTGCCGTCTAAAAAGCATATACAATTTTCTATTGATAATATTGATAAGAATCTGTAAAGGAAGTAATTCCTGAGAATAGCAAGAGCCAAATATTTGGAAGGAAATTACTGTCATTATGGTAGTGTTTTCATTCACAGAATGAATGACACTGACCAATAAAAAAAAAAGGTCCCTTGAAGCAAACACTGAATTAAAACAATTAACTTTGAATATAAAGTAGACTTTATTTTTAAATGGTTGGGAGATGACCAGACCAAGTCGTCTATGTGCTACAGATGTGTGGTAGTGTTGGTGGTGACTTGAGGTGGTGTTGGTGACGTGTGGTGGTAGTGGTGGTGACAGGTCAGACCAGGTCATCAGTGTCGTGGAGGCGGGTGTGAGTAGTGGTGGTGGTCACGGCTTGAAGATTCACTTCGTCCTCCTCAGTCGCCGTCATCTGTAACCCAGTAATTATGCAGTCATGTAGTTTAATTGCTTAACTCTGCACCTCCATAACCATCCTCTGAGCGGAATTCAATAAATTACAGAGGCACAGTACAGGTCCAGGGACTGGGTCCCAAAGTTTTCATAGCTAAGAGAGTTACACTGGTCATGAGCTAATTGCAGATTAATAATTTGATAATAGTCGCAATAAGCTGTTTAAACTGATATAAATTCAGCCACAAAAATATTACAGTGTAGCTTATAAGCGGTTATGAGTTACCTATAATACCCAATATTTTAGCAAAGCATGGTTGAAGTTAGATAAATTTTAGTGATTATGAGTTTTTGCAATAGGCAAAGTCGGAGTATTTTTCCCTTAATGACTGGTTATATGCCACTGTGGATCAAATACTTTGACACATCTTGAAAAAATTATGGGTAAATTTTCTCTGAATTCTTGAAATTTTTGGCATTCAGCACATAATGGCAATAGTTCTTTTGGCAATGTTTGCATTTAGTTAAGTCTACATCACTTAGTGATGTAGACTCAGCCGAAGCCCAGCAGTAGTGACATTCAAAAGTCTTCTGATATTGTTGGTTCCAACACAGGTACGTGGGCGCCTCCTGCGTTACAGAATGATGACTGATGGACTGACTGATGTCGGTCGCCCTCAGTCCCAAATCAATTAATTTTTCGTATTATTGCCCTTAAACTGCCTGTGGACAACCCAGAGCTGTACTCTGCTCCAGTTTTGATGACATATGCCTTTGCCAATTCATCAGTTCCAGCATGCATTGGAAGACCAATAAGAGAGGGAATCCACACAATGTAGACCCTGACTCCACTGCCTACAATTCTAGCATATTTGTATATGGCTTCTGTGGTGAGCATGTCACACTTAACAGTCGTGTATTGTTTGGCACCAGTGAATGATAATCACAATTAAAGTTTCTTCTTCAGATATGTGAGCACACTGAGTGCAAGAAGTATACCATAGAATTCAGTCTGAAGAGTGAAGCCCAATTATTGAGACTTGCTCCAATTCCCATACAATTTCCATGACAATAACGGCACTATCAGGTTTCGTGGACGGAATCATCAACATATATAATTTGATGGAGAATTTAAGGTATTAATAGAATTTAAGGCATCGTTCTTGGCTTCAGATTAAGATTTAATTGTGATCTAATTAGGCCTTATAAGGGAAAGTGAAGGATTGTGATTTGGAAAGAGGTAATTTCTTATTGTGCTAATAGGTGTCATTGTTGCCTTACTTGACACAGAACGTGTATTTGATTCATTTGATTCATGTATTTGATTCATTCAGTTATAGTTTTTTATGATCCTTTTCTAGACGTGATCTCTTGTGGGAAACAGTCAGCTTGCAACAGTTTATGTGCAGGAATTTGAATAAGTTTTCCTGAGTATATTAACATCAATAAAGACATTCGTTTCAGCGATACGATGTGTGCTGCTTATAATATTAAGTTCTTAATGCATATTTAGAATTTTGGTGGTACATTGACATTCTAGGATGATCCTCATCTTATCAAAACATCATTTTCAAAACATACATTATACTATTTGGCAACGAATTTAGAAGACACTGAAATTGTAATTGAAGATGTTTTGGTGGTATTGGAGGCGTTAAAAAAAAAAGCCGAGGCTAAGCCCAACAACTTACAGTGAGAGCGTAAGAGCGGACGACGACCATGGCGCAACACAAGCCCACAAACACAACACTGATGATGGCAAAGAGAGGCCACGTGTGAAAGATGAGGATGGAGTCGATGGCAAACACGCTGAGATCAGTCATCAACATCACACTCCTCATCCACAGCCATCCCATCACCAGATGGCGACGACTCTGTAAATGAAGTTTTATGTAGGACATTTAGCGATTTTTTCATAGCTTGTAAAACAGGGATTCGTTCTGACACTTTCCCAGTTCCATATATCTTGACTAATGCTTACCAAGAAAATAAGAGCTTATCATACATGCAGTTTATCAGGAACCAGGACAAGTGTTTCCTGACCGGGGTCTCAGTCATATAATGACTCGCAGCAGGAGCTTTCGGTCATCTGACCGAGGCCGTCCGCTGGCTTACCGGTCCACCCCTTTAAAAATTATGGTTATAATTATAATCATTTTTTAATACCTACCAAACGGTCACACACACACACGCAACCACACACACACACACACACACACAACACACACCACACACACCAACACACACACACACACAACATCTACACACATCTCTTTGCCAAGTTACACCGAGTGTCATATGGAGTGGGCGTGGAGCAGTGGTGTGTGTGGTAGCTCACTAGTTGAATGAAAGGAGACTATAAGGTGACACAACATCTGAGGAACTTCCTACAGAGCCAGCACAGAGACAGTTCAAAAGTCGGAAACAATGATGAATATAAGCCAAAAGTAAGGACCAGGAAGTTTATCCAGGGAAAGACATATGGTGAATGAAGAAGGCCCGAGTTTACGACAGTGTAGGGAGCTAAAAATTGAGGACTTCCTAAGGAAGAGTACGGAACCAAGAATGACAGGAAAATAGATAACGAAAGTGATGAATAATACAAGAAAAGGTAAGGAGGCACAGGAAGTTTGTTCAAGGAACAACTCAAATGAAGACCGAAACCCTGATTTACCCGACAAGGAAGAGGCAAGAATTTAAAAACCACCAGTGATAGTGAAAGACAGAAGGTCGGAAATCACAAGAAAATCACGGTATTGTCGAAGAGCTAAACGATTAATAGGAGGAAGCATGCAGAGAACAGAAAATACTCGGAAAGCAAAGGAACACCCGAAAGATAATACCCTCAAATGGATAAATCAACACAGGAGTCGCCCAAGTGACGAATTAAAACAGTGAGGTGGAAACTATAGAAGGTGGGGAACTCACAAGAAACGATCACGGGGTATGTGAGGAGCTCAACATGAGATTTAATTAAGGAAGTATTTACAGTAGAGACAGGAAGGGATCTGGGAAGACAGCACAGAGGGGAACACCAACAGGAAATATACCCTCAAGTGTTGGATGAAATACAAACAACAGAGGAGGAGGTGCAGAAGCTCCTAAGTGATCTTGATATCTCAAAGGCGATGGGTCTGGACAACATCTCCTCTTGGGTACCTAGAGAAGGACCAGAGAAGCTGTGTGTGCCACTAACTCACAATCTTCAATACGTTCCTTGAAACTGGGCAACTACCTGATATATGGAAGACGGCAAATGTAGTCCCCATTTTTAAGAAAGGAGACAGAAACGAGGCACTAAACTACAGACCAGTGTCTCTGACTTGTATAGTGTGCAAAGTCATGGAGAAGATTATCAGGAGGAGAGTGGTGGTGCACCTGGAATGGAACAAGATTATAAACGATTACCAGCACGGATTCATGAAAGGAAAATCCTGTGTCACAAACCTTCTGGAGTTCTATGACAAGGTAACAAAAGTAAGACACGAGAGAGAAGGGTGGGTTGATTGCATTTTCCTGGACTGCAGGAAGGCCTTCGACACAGTTCCTCACAGGAGATTAGTGTAGAAGCTGGAGGATCAGGCGCATTAAACAGGAAGGGCACTGCAATGAATCAGAGAATACCTGACAGGGAGGCAACAACGAGTCATGGTACGTGATGAGGTATCACAGTGGGCGCCTCTGACGAGCGGAGTCCCACAGAGGTCAGTCCTAGAACAAGTGCTATTTTTGATATATGTGAATGAATTGATGGAAGGCATAGACTCAGAAGTGTCACCGTTCGCAGATGATGTGAAGTTAATGAGAAGAATTAAATCAGATGAGGATCAGGCAGGACTACAAAGAGACCTGAACAGGCTGGACACGTGGTCCAGCAACTGGCTTCTCGAATTCAACCCTGCCAAATGCAGTGTCATGAAAATTGGTGAAGGGCAAAGAAACCGCAGACAGAATATAGGCTAGGTGGACAAAGACCGCAAACCTCACTCAAGGAGAAAGATCCTGGGGTGACCGTAACACCGAGCACGTCTCCGGAGGCACACATCAACCAGATAACTGCTGCAGCATATGGGCGCCTGCCAAACCTGAGAAAAGCGATCCGATAGCTTAGGAATCGTTCAAGACACTGTACACTGTGTACGTCAGGCCCATACTGGAGTATGCAGCGCCAGTTTGGAACCCACGCCTGGTCAAGCACGTCAATAAATTAAAGAAAGTACAAAGGTTTGCAACAAGGCTAGTTCCGGGGCTCAGGGGAATGTCCTACGAAGAAAGATTGAGGGAAATCGGACTGACGACACTGGAGGACAGGAGGGCCAGGGGAGACATGATAACAATATACAAAATACTGTGTGGAATAGATAAGGTGTACAGAGACAGGATGTTCCAGAGAGGGGACACAGAAACAAAGGGTCACAATTGGAACTGAAGACTCAGACGAGTCACAGGGATGTTAGCAAGTATTTCTTCAGTCATAGAGTCGCCAGGAAGTGGAATAGCCTAGCAAGTGATGGAGTGGAGGCAGGAACCATACATAGCTTTAAGACGAGGTATGACAAAACTCAGGAAGCAGAGAGAGAGAGGACCTAGCAGCGATCAGTGAAGAGGCGGGGCCAGGAGCTGAGTCTCAATCCCTGCAACCACAATTAGGTGAGTACAATTAGGTGAGTACACGCTGACCCGAAGTTGTTGTGCAGCCACATCAGGAGGAAAACAACAGTCAAGCACCAGGTAATCAGGCTGAGGAAGGAAGGAGGGGAGATCACAAGAAACGACCGTGAAGTATGTGAGGAGCTCAACTTGAGATTCAAAGAAGTGTTCACAGAGGAGACAGAAGGGACTCCAGAAAGACAGAGAGAGGGGGGATCACCGTCAAGTGTTGGACACAATACATACAACCGAGGAAGAAATGAAAAGGCTGCTAAGCGAGCTTGATACCTCAAAGGTGATTGGGCCTGATAACATCTCTCCATGGGTCCTGAGAGAGGGAGAAGAGGCGCTATGTGTACCACTAACAACAATTTTCAACACATCTGTCGAAACAAAACGACTACCTGAGGTATGGAAGACAGCAAATGTCGTGGTAAGGTGTTACAGTGGGCACCTGTAGCGAGCGGGGTTCCACAGAGGTCAGTCTTAGGACCGGTGCTGTTTCTGGTATTTGTGAACGACATGACGGAAGGAATAGATTCTGAAGTGTCCCTGTTTGCAGATGATGTGAAGTTTATGAGAAGAATTCAATCAGATAAGGACCAGGCAGAATTACAAAGGGATCTGGAGAGGCTGCAGGCATGGTAAAGCAACTTGCTCCTGAAGTTCAACCCCACCAAATGCAAAGCCATGAAGACTGGGGAAGGGCATAGAAGACTGCAGACGGAGTACAGTCTATGGGGCCAGAGACTAAAAACTTCACCCTAGGAAAAAGATCTTGGGGTGAGTATTAACACCAGGTATTTCTCCGGAGGCGCACATCAACCAAATAACTGCTGCAGCATACGGGCGCCTAGCAAACCTAAGAACACAATTCCGACATCTTAATAAGGACTCATTCCTTGGCTAGCGCAGGGTTCTTATTGATCAATACCACTCGTTCGTGGCTACAATAATATATATATATATATATATATTATATATATATATATATATATATATATATATATATATATATATATATATATATATATATATTCATCAAGTCGGCCGTCTCCCACCGAGGCAGGGTGACCCAAAAAGAAAATCCCCAAAAAGAAAATACTTTCATCATCATTCAACACTTTCACTTCACTCACACATAATCACTGTTTTTGCAGAGGTGCCTAGAATACAACAGTTTAGAAGTATATACGTATAAAAATACACAATATATCCCTCCAAACTGCCAATATCCCAAACCCCTCCTTTAGAGTGCAGGAATTGTACTTCCCATTTCCAGGACTCAAGTCCGGTTATATAAAATAACCGGTTTCCCTGAATCCCTTCATTAAATATTACCCTGCTCACACTCCAACAGCTCGTCAGGTCCCAAATACCATTCGTCTCCATTCACTCCTATCTAACACGCTCACGCACGCTTGCTGGAAGACCAAACCCCTCGCTCACAAAACCTCCTTTACCCTCTCCCTCCAGCCTTCTCCAGGACGACCCCTACCCCGCTTTCCTTCCCCTACAGATTTATACGCTCTCCATGTCATTCTACTTTGATCCATTCTCTCTAAATGACCAAACCACCTCTACAAACCCTCTTCAGCCCTCTGACTAATACTTTATTAACTCCACACCTTCTCCTAATTTCCACACTCCAAATTTTCTGCATAATATTTACACCACACATTACCCTTAGACAGGACATCTCCACTGCCTCCAACCGCCTCCTCGCCGCAGTATTTACAACCCAAGCTTCACACCCATATGAGTGTTGGTACTGCTATACTTTCATACACTCCCTTCTTTGCCTCCATAGATAATATTTTTTGCCTCCACATATACCTCAATGCACCCCTCACCTTTTTTCCTTCATCAATTCTATAATTAACCTCATCCTTCATAAATCCATCCACTGACACGTCAACTCCCAAATATCTTAAAACATTCACTTCTTTCATATTCCTTCTTCCCAATTTGATATCCAATTTTTCTTTATCTAAATCATTCGATACCCTTATCACTTTACTCTTTTCTATGTTCACTTCCAACTTTCTACCTTTACACACACTCCCAAATTCGTCCACTAACCTTTGCAATTTTTTTTTAGAATCTCCCGTAAGCACAGTATCATCAGCAAAAAGTAATTGTGTAACTTCCCATTTTGTATTTAATTCCCCATAATTTAATCCCACCCCTCTCCCGGACACCCTCGCATTTACTTCTTTTACAA